CGACTCAGACTTCTTCTGGAGAAAGGTAGTGGAAAGATCAAAGCAATCAACTCTGCTGCTCAACCAATAGTTGGAGTATCGAAATCTGTGTCAATCAAAGCAGGTCCTTTCGAAGGAAGGACAAATCTGTCGGCAATTCAGATGGATGATTTCAAGCTCATTCTGGGATTGGAATTTCTGTGGGATACTAAGACAACAGTGCTGCCATATTCCGATTCATTGATAATGATGGGTAGTAAACCATGCGTCATCACTACCTAACCGGGGAAGATGAGCGAGAAAAGTATCTCGGTCGTGCAAGTTGGTAAGGGTTTCAAAAGAAATAAACCCTCATTTTTGTCCACTCTTCGATTAGAGGAGTGATCATATTCCAAAGCCGATCAGAAGGCTTATCAAGGAATTTGAGGACATCATGCCGGAAGAGTTACTAAAGAAGTTGCCACTAAGAAGGGCAATCAATCATGATATTGAGCTTATTCCATCTGGTAATGGTTAAACTCCCTGACAGAAGCGTTTATAAACCAACAAGAGGGAAAGATTCAAGATTTGTGCCAAAATATATTGGATCATTACCCATCGTGAAGAGGATTGACAGAGTCGCATACAGAGTTGCACTCCCTTTATGGTGCAAAATCTACAAGATCCTTTATGTTAGTGTAATCAAGCCATACTTTGCCGATAAGGAGGACGCATCCAGAAATGAGCTGAAGCGACCTGTGTTTGAACTGAAAAGAGCTGGAAGGAAGGTTGTTGAAGAGATTCTTCACCATCGAACTACTCGAGCTTTCAGGAAATATCATCAAGAGTATTTGGTCAAATGGAACAAATGCAGCAGCGAGAAGAATACTTGGGATAGTGAAAAAGACCTTGCAACCTTTGAATTATTAATTGAAGAATATCATACATTGATGGTACTGAGGACGTCGCCAAAACAAATGGGAGAGAATGCTAAGGACTACAACTTCAACTAGCCCCTTGACCCAATCATTGTAGAAATTTTATTTCAATTGTAAACTAGATGTAATATTGGAAAAGTTTAATATGATTCCTCGAAATTTAAACGTCTACTCTTATCACTTAGGTTTTTGTTCAGAATGTTATTATAGGGGGTATTAGTCTTTTAAACAATTTTTCTAGCTTTCTAGTTCGCCCCCTACACTAACCATTGTAATTTCCTACTTTTATCAATTGTAATTTCTAATTTTCAAGCAATCAATGGTCAATTTACATTCAATGCGTTTCAATTTCATGTTGCAAGCTTTCTATAAATTGTATTCAAATTTTCTTTCATCCTGAAACGGTCAAGAGAAGGAGAAAGGTAGTCTAGCGGAGTAGACTACTTCCGCACGGTGTCTCTTTCTGTGTCAAGAAGAAAGGCACCTCGTGAAATATAAATAAAATAACATTATCCCCAATTCAACACATGTTTCTCCTCCCTGGGGAAATATTGGAGGGTCGTTGGGCGTACAAAACATGTTTCGACATTTTCTTTTATCCCATTGAAATTGTTGAATTACATAATGTAATGTCACATGCATAGAGATTAAAAAAAAAAAACTATAACTTGAAGTACACTGAAGTAGATTTTGATTAGGTATACATTTCCTAGTGTAGTCATGAAGAAAAGAGCATGCTTTACCGTACAAGTTGAGTTTGCATCCTACGCCTCGAACGCGAATATAATGATTCCACATTATTCAGGGCGGAACTGGGAGGGACAAAAAATAAAAATTCTACAGAGTTGACACACAGAAAAAACAAAATTTTACACTAAAGATTAAATGGGCTTGGGGGCAGGGCACACTAATAATAGGGATGCCAAAATGAGTGGACGGATCTTAACCAACCATAGGTCCAGCTCAAGTCCTGAATTAACATCTAGAAGTATAGTAAAAGCCTAATATGAATGATCTTTAGACACTGGGCCAGACTAACAACCTACCGGTCAATATTTTAGGTTGGTTTGGTCGAGAATTATATCATCAAAATATTTGTATAATATAAATGAGCACTTTATATACTAGTAATAGCACAATTTCTTTTAATAAATCGAGTCGACTAGCTGGTTCTCATCAGTCGCTAGGTTGGACGGTCCGAGACAAGTTAGACTAATTTCGATCCAACTTTTTGACAAGCTGAATTGCTCGGGTCTCGGTTGCTCTCCCATTTTGTCTTTGACTACAGTAAACAACAATCAATCTAAAAAAAAAAATACAATAATAATATATTTTTGCTAGTCAACTGATTTTTGTCCTTTTTATTTGCAAGTATTTTAGACCATAAGATTAGACAAGGAAGAAGCGAAGCCGTAGACCCTAATAACGTGCTTAATCTTCTGTTTTCAACAACTACTATTTCGATAACTGCAATAATTGAGGTTGAAGTTTCCTCTAAAACTTATGTTACGTTAAGAATATTGTGTATAAATTCAAATTTTCAATGAAGAGGCTTTTTTTTTTTTTTTTTGCCTCTTCCTAAACATAAGCTAAGCGAAACATGCTCAATTGATTATTGANGGGGGTGTTCCCACTAAATCTATCTATATGTAGGCAAGATTTCAGGACTCAATTGAAGTGTTGATCAAACATATTAATACTAGAAGAGAAATCTTATTTTCACATTAAATATATGTATTAAAGAATGTATACGTATTAGGGCATGATTGGTAATTATGTAAGATGAAACAAGCATATCGTGCCTCCCTCTTCTTAAATTTTATTATATCTGTACAATTCAAAATACTAAATATTTTATATAAATAATTGTTCCTTAAGAAACTCGAAACAAAAAGTACGAAGATATTGAGCACGTTAGGCAATCTTTTAAATTGCATTAAACGACAAGATCCAGTACAAAAAAATGGGCTTAATTAACAAGTTAATTACGCAATGTCAAGAGCACGCTAACTATTACTTCCATATGAATAAATTTAAACACAATGAAGTTCTCTCACTATAGTTTTATATATAAATATGGAAGTTCGAAGAGAACATGATCATAGGGGAATTAATTGTTATTCATGCTCATTGTCTCTGATACAATGGTGAGTTCCTTGTCTCATACATGTAATATATATAGATACAATTGGGTTTAATATGTTCATGTTAGATGGTGAATCGTTAGTACCAATTCTAAAATTTAATGGCTCTTTTATATGCTCTAAAACTATACTAGGTCTTCGAGTTCCACCTTAAAATATCAATTTTGAAAAACACAGTAGTGCTAACTCTTATATATTTATTGTTTACTTTTTCTATAATTGATGTAAGATTTATCGTTTAATACATACAAAATTCATATAACTACATTTACGTACACGTATTGTTAGACTATTTGTACTTGTATGTGATATTGTGGCTTTCTTAAACGATGTAAGTTGTGATACTTGCCAATTTGTCTCGACTAAGAAAATCCACTCAAGAAATAAGTGTCCTATAAACTTACATCCTTGCGCTAGCCCCGGTTGATTCGAATTGGGTCGATTTGTATTCCGAATTTTATATCTTGCGAAATGCATGGTTATCTGAATTATTTTTGACGTAAAAAAATTTTCAGGAACGTTTAACCCTGTTGTTGGTATTATTCATGGCCACATCTGTGTTGGGAGCTACAACTAGTTTCAATGTGATGAGTTATGGGGCTGTTGGAAATGGAAGAGCTGATGACTCCCAAGTAATTCCTACTTTTACATATTTTTCTTTCCTTTCATCCAAGGGCTACTACACTTGAACAAACATAAAAAAAAAAAAAGTACTCAATGGAATGGTTTTCTCAATCTACAAAGCGAGTTATGTTTAGCATGTTTGGCTTATCTTAAAAGTGAAAAGGAAGAGCTTAAATTGGCATCTTTTTGGACTAAGTGTCGAGAGTAATGATACGAAAACATACGTTGACTTCTACAAAAGAAGCAAAATCAAACATGCTCAGTCCATATGAGTCGAATATTAAGAAGTTCAAAAAATGAGTATTTCAACTACCGTAAAATCAACATATACATTTTAGCCTATATTTGGGAAATATTTTTAGAATTTCTACTTTCCAGTCAAAGCTAAAATTTAGTTTCAATCACGCATTCAAAATTACTACTCATTATTATCCATACATTTAGGAGTTCACACTACTATTCCTCTTTAAAAATTCCTAAATAGTTTCTAATAATCTTTCTCGAATTGAGGCTTAGAACATTACTTAAAATTTGAGATATTTACTAAAAATATATGATAAAAGTAATTTGTTTTTCAGGCTTTTGTGAAGGCATGGAAAGCCGTCTGCCAGGCTAAATCCACAAATCCTATACTCTATATACCCCCAAAGAAGACTTTTATGTTGAAGCCCTTGACATTTAATGGTCCATGCAAGTCCTCTCGGATATATATTCTGGTAATCTCTTACTTTTACATTGCACCTTATATTTTCCAACATGATTTTTTTTTTTGGTGGTCAGAGCTAACTTCCCTCCTGGTACTGTTTTCTTCTTTTGTTATTTATAAAACGGACCATGTAATGTGGTCAATTTATAAAAAAAAAAGGAAACAATACTGGTAATCTGTGTATTCATGTTCTTAATTAATGTTTAATTAATTAACATAGTAAATTTTGTTATTTTTACAAAGAAATTTATGTTATTTTGACCATAGGATTAATTCAATCTTCTATTTATTTTAACGTAAACCAACATTAAAAAAAAAAAGAAGAAGAAGAAGAAGATGGTTCCTGCCTACCCATGAAAAGACATATTGAAGATAACATTTAAGTTCAATATACTTTAGATTGGTTGAACAAAGTTAAACTTACTTTTTATGTAAATTACTGTTTCCAAATATATTTAGACATAAAGTACTCATTTTTTCAACTTAGAAATTAAAAGAGTTTGTTTTTTGGGGCTAAAGCAGAAGTTACTTTAGTAATTTTTGTCTAATTTTGACTTATTCAAGACTTATTCTACTTATAAGTCAATTTTTTGAACTTAGCCAAACATGCTCTAAGAAAGAGTACGTCTTGTTCAGTTACCATCTAGAAGAACCTAACTCACACTATAAATTAAATTACAATAGTAGAGCGAATTTTGAGATTTCGAGGGTCTTAGGCTAAATTTATGGGCTTTTAATAGATAATTAAAAGTAAAGCTACACGCCATTAACTAAGAATTAATAAACACTATTATATGGAGCTCACCTATGCAAGATTTTAGATAGCAGTCCATGCCGTTCATAGTCAAGATCATGAAAGTGGAACTTTTTATATATATCAGGTGTCAGGAATGATTGTTGCACCAAAGAAAACAGAATGGGCAGGGAATCAACTACACGCATGGCTTATTTTTGCAAATATCAATGGGCTAAATGTATCAGGGAAAGGGACCATTAATGGCCAGGGTTCATCTTGGTGGCCACAACCTTGCTTGCACAACCCAGTTAATGTAAGTCAAATTTTAATAAATGTCTAAAATATAGATTTTAATTGTACTTCAAAACAAAAAGTTTTAACTCCAAAATTTTCTAATATGTAGGGTGAACAATGCAAGGGACCAACTGTAAGTATTTATATTTATAATCCAACATTTCGTCGTAGAAGACGGCATTCAAATTTTTTTTAAAAAAAATTACGCACTTATTTTTCTTTTATATTAGTGGAAAATCATTAAAAAAAAAAATGTGCTTCTTTTTCGACTCGAATAATAATTTTGTACTTTGCTTGGTGATGGCCAGGCAATTACATTCAGGAGATGCCATGGTCTTAGACTGAGTGGTTTGACACATATAAATAGCCCAGCAGTCCATATCTTAATTACTGCAACTAATGGTGCTTTAGTCTCTAATCTCCGCATAATCGCACCTGGCACGAGCCCTAATACTGATGGCATAGACATTTCTAGTTCAACAAATGTTCAAATCCGAAATTCTTTCATTGGAACTGGTATTGAATCTCTTTTTCTTACAAAATTTCTTACCAAATTTATATGCATTGAATTTCTCTGTTTCTTTTTGCTTTCCCTAAACAAAAATCAATACAGGTGATGACTGCATAGCCATTAGTGCTGGATCTTCCAACATTAATATTTCAGGAATAACATGTGCACCGGGACATGGTATCAGGTTGGTTCTATTAATAATTCGTGTTCCATCTTAAAAGGTCAATCTATCTCAAATCCTTATTAATTATAAATTGGTCCATGTTTTCATCTTGATTCAACGTAGGATTGTATCCCTCAATACTCCCCCCTCAAGATGGTGCTATTTGAGCAAATTAACCTTGAAATTCGTGTACTCAATTTTTTTAGTCTTAATCGGGTCGAACTGCTCGTGAAGCTTAATAAGCTTTGTTATGTCTCGTTACCGAGGCTTCTAGTGGAGACCACGTTGTAATCCACGTAGAGACATTGAGTCGATCCGTCAAAGACCCAATTGGTCAAGATACAGAGGTCAAAGAATAAGCTGATCTCCATTGTTTAGAGACTCTTATGCTGTCGAAGCCCTGTCTCAATCCGAAACTCTTTTTGGCCGAAGCACCCTCTCCATTCGAAGTTCTCTTTTAGGCTAAAGCACTTACTGTCGTTTAAAGGATCTGCAGGCAATCTTTAGGAATAATTGGTGAAGTTGTTTATGATTGTTTGTTTGTTTACAATCATCTTTGATCATATTGCTGGCACTTGAATATTTTTGTCTCACATCGTAAAACATCTCACACATCCATAAACGCCACCATTCTCCTTTTGGATCTCTAATCAAAACGTGTTAAAATTTGTTTGCGGGACACAAGTGGGTCAGGCATCTGTTGCCCTATAATCATCATGAAAAATGAGGTCAATAGATTGGCACCGTCTGTAGGAAAAGTCATACATTCAAACCACGAAAATATTGTGGAAAAAGTCGGTAAGAAGATACATTTCTTGCCTTTGAAGAAAATAAGGTGTTTTTGAAAAAAGAACTACTAAATTTTCCAAGATGAATTGTTTTCTAGGAGTCTAGTATATTCTTTGAAGAAAGGAATATCATTCTGTGTCAAAGAGACAAGTCATTGGACTTTGGATAGAACGCTGCCATGAGTTCGAAGAGTCAGCGTCTCAAAAGATAGGGAGCACTCTGAAGAAGAGGAACCCTCTTATGCAACTCCAGCAACTTGTCATCAATTTCACTAGTAACATCTACGAGGAGGATCAAGAGATGGGTCTAGAATAGCTACTAGACTCACCAAAAAGTGGCTACCATGACCGTAAACGTGAGAGGCATTACCCAGCAAAATATTGCCATGCATGAGCTGCTAAAGAATATGCAGAGCCAGGAAGGATATCCAATCCCCCATACGCAGCTGAAGGAAATGCTTTCTTTCATGACCCCCCACAAGGGAACTACTATCATGGTGAAGATGAGGTTCAAAACAAAATGGCTTATTACAACATTACACTAGGAAGGAGGCCCTTCGGGAAAAGGGAAGTTAGGATGGATACATCCACCAATTGTGCCACTAATTAACCCAATGAGGTTCCATTCAACTTTTCTCCGAATAACGAGTTGGAGGACATGCCACAGAGATCCATAAGTGTCTCAAGTCCCAGAAGGCCTGGAAATATGCAGGCTCAACCCCTCTTTTTGCCTAGAAATATATAGCAGGGACCACCTCAGTTTGGAAGACATAATGAACCTGCTTATGGCAACTTGCCTCCGAATCCTCCATCTAGGAATAAGTGCCAAAGGAGAGTGAAACAGGCTAGGAATCAAGCATGACCATCCCAACCACCTTAGGGACTGCAAGTCAAAGAAGATGAAAACGCGATGAACACAAAGGTTTTGCAACCAAGATGATGATGATGACAACTTGCTATTCTCCTAGGGAATTAGGGATGCTCATGCCCCAAGCTACTTAGTGCTTCCAAAAATTTCCAAGTGTGATGGAAAAAGTGATCCTGCTGTGAAATGTAGAGCCTTCCACTTAACCCTAAGTGGGGCAGCTAAAGTGTGGTATACTAGACTTTCGAGAGATGTATGGCTAGATTTCAAGAGAGCTTTCCTTAAGCAATTCGTGTCTAGAAAGAAAGGCGAAGGGCTAATACATTGCCTTCAAGACATGAGGCAACAATAGAGAGAGTCACTAAAGAGCTTTTTATCTCATTTCACTGATGAGATGACCTATTGTGTGCAAGTCACCGATATGAAGGCCATATCAGCCTTAAATGGAGGGTTGGATATGAATTCTCTGTTTTGGATATACATGCAAAACAAAGATCCAATCAGTTATGACGCCATACGGGAAATGACAAGACGCGAGATCATCGCAATAGGGCCAACCAATGACTGCTACCTCCTCAGAGGCAACGAGGTAGAGGTATCACCAACCACTTGATAGAGCACCATGTCGGATAGTCCACTACCCTCAACCCAGGGCAAGATCGACTATAGCAACATTGAATGCAGAAGCTTTGGCTTATGAGGAAGTCAACCCTACCGTCGAGGCAGACCAAGGAAAGTTAGGCCAACAATTTTCCTAAAGGAGAAAGGGTAAAGGGCGAAGTTTTGAACCTAAGAATAGGAATGAGATATCCCCCTGTTGCACATAGCATAACTCCTACAGCCATAATATAGCTGATTGTAGGGATATTGCCTTACATCTACAACCTAGTAATCAAAGGAGTAGAAGCCCATGAAACATACCTCATGGGCAATATCAACAGCTTAAAAGAGTCGAAATTAAACGTCCCACTCAAAATGATGCTCCTCGGAGGTGAGAGAATGATGGGAAAAACACAAAGCACGAGCCCCCAAGTATCACTGATCGAGAACTTATTCGAGTGATTGATACAATCTTTGGAGGTCTGTATGTTGGGGAAAAACCAAGAATGCCCAAATGAACTATGCAAGAGAAGTCAGGGATCCTCCAATGGCAAGCTTCATAGATAACAATACCCGACCCTCAAGGGAGAGAGGAGTTCAGCTCATTACTTTCGCACAAGATGATGCAGCTAGCCTACATTATCCACATTATGATGCCTTGGTAGTAATGGCCGTTATGACTCGAAATGGCCTTAAAAGAATGCTGGTTGACAATGGAAGTTCGGTCAATATCATATTTGGAGCAACCTTTGACAAAATAGGAGTGGATCACGAGATAACCCCTGTAAGTTCTCCCATGTATGGCTTCATCGACGATAGCATCATCCCTATGGGAAAAATCACTCTAACAATGGAGATGAGAATGACACAATTATCTGCTCTTCATTTTATGGAGTTTTTGGTGGTGGACAACTACTCTACTTACCATGGAGTACTCGAAGGCCAGGACTAAAAAAAATTATGAGCTATTACGTACATTCACCACTTGTGCATAAACATCCCTACGGATAACGATATCGCCATGTTAGAGGTGATCAAATAAGTGTAAGAAAGTGCTATTTGAACTCTTTTGAGAAGGTCGAACCTAGGAATGTCAATGTAATTTTGATGTACATTGACATGGATGACGTCCCTAAACAAGAACAAAACCTTGAACAAGGTGAAGATGTCGAAATGGTAGACGCCTCTGAAGGGTAACAACCCATGAAGAAGGGAGAGCCATTAAAGAAGTTGATAAATTTGATAAACTAGATCCTCGTATCATCAATTGCGAACCTCCAATAACCCCTGTAGAAGAACGAGAGGGTTTAAAAGTGGATCCCCAGCACCCTTCCAAATTCTTACAGTTAGGAAAAGACCTAATAGCGGAGGCTACAGAAAAATTGAAATGCTTCTTACGTGAAAATGTGGATATCTTTGCGTGGAAACGTGAGGACATGGTTGGCATCGACCCAAATGTTAGTTGTCACCCCTTAAAGATTAATCATAAAGCTGTTCCTCATCGACAGAAAAGGAGGGCTCTTAACCTAGAAAGGTATGAGGCCCTAAAGAATGAGGTGAAGAAGTTGAATGACAATCGTTTCATTTAAGAATCAACCTATCCGAAGTGGGTATCTAAGATTGTCCTGGTTAAAAGGTATAATGGTAAGTAGAGGGTATACGTAGATTTTTTCAATCTTAAACAAGTTCGCCCCAAGAACAGCTTTCCACTCCCACGAATAGATCAGTTGGTTGATTCTACTATGGTCATGAACTATTGAATTTTATGAACGCCTGTTCTAGCTAAAATCAGATCCCAATGAACCCAGTGGGTAAAGAGCATACGTCCTTCATAACGGGCAGAGGTCTCTATTGCTATAAGGTGATGTCGTGTGGATGGAAAAACGTTGGGGCCACTTATCATAGACTTGTTAAAAAGATGTTTGCTGACCTCATTGGGAAGAAAATGAAGGTGTACGTAGATGATATATTGGCGAAAAGCCTGAAGGTAAAGGAGAGTACCTCGATGAAGCTTTTCAAATGCTATGAAGGTATATGATGAGGCTTAATCTCCTCAAATACGATTTGGAGTTATCTCGAGGAAATTTTTGGGATATATGGTTAACCAAAGAGGCATAAAAGCCAATCATGAAAAGATCAAAGTTCTAGTCGAAATTAGGTTCACTCAGAAGCCTAAAGAAGTATAGAGCCTCACTGGACGCATAGTAGTCTTGAGTCGCTTTGTCTCAAAAGCAACAGATAAGTGCATTCCTTTCATCAAGATTCTAAAAGATGGAAAGAAATTCCAGTAGATGGTGTAGTACGAAGAAGCACTTGGAACAGGCTCCCCTTTTCTCCAAACCCAAGATTGATGAACCCCTACAACTGTACTTGGCAGTAACCTCCAATGCTATCAGTTCACTACTTATACGGGAGGAAGATGGTCACCAACTGCCTATTTATTATGTAAGTAAAGTACTTTTTGTTGCAGAGACCTACTATCTAGACATAGAAAAGCTGGCCCTCTCTTTAGTTACTGCTTCTCGGAAGTTGAGACTGTACTTTTAATCTCATACCATTCAAGTGCTAATCAAATTTCCACTCAAGCACGTGTTGTAGAAGCCTGACGCTTTAGAAGAATGAGGAAATAGGTCATGAAGCTTAGTGAGTTAGACATTGCATTTAAGATAAGGGTTGCTATTAAAGGCCAAGACTTAGCAAATTTCATAGCTAAGTTCGTCCATATTCCAGAAATAGAAGAGGAAATGGACCTATCGAACCTTTCACTTGGAACCCATTTGTTGATGGTTCCTTTGGAGACACATGATTCGGGGTAAGAGTGGTCCCAATCAGCCTAGAAGGGTATAAATTTAATTGTGCAGTGAGGTTTGTATTTGAGGCTACCAAGAAGGCATCAGATTACAACGCCCTTCAAGCTGGCCTCAAATTGGATGGGGAGATTCAAGTAAAGAGACTAGTTGTCAACATTGACTCCCGTTGGTAGTGAGCCAGGTTAATGGCAATTTCTTAACCAGGGATAAGAGTATGGCCGCATATCTGAAGTTGGTCATGGAATTTGTTCCTGATTTTGAAAAGTTTGAGTTAGTATAGATCCCACCTATGAAAATCCTCATGCCAACGTTCTTTCAAAACTATCAAGCAGCAAAGATTTCGAATTGGTCACCGTTGTGCCTATAGAACACCTTCCTAGACCCTTCATTTCTAAAGGCGAAGAGGTGACATGGGTCGAATATGCACCCCCATGAATGCAGCTAATCATAGCTTTCCACAAAGTTCAAGCGTTACCCTCTGACAAATAGGAGGCGCAGAAGCTCAGGAGATGAGCTACTCATTTTGTTTTCAGAATGATGTGCTATACAAATGAAGTTTCTTCCTACACCTACTCTGATGCATAGGTGGCAAACAAGTTACCTACATGCTCCAAGAAATTCTCGAAGGGGTTTGCAGCAACCATATGGGAGGATGGTCTCTAGTGCAAAACGTGTTATGTTATGGATATTATTAGCCAATATTGAAAAAGGATGCGCAACAATTTGTGAGAAGGTGCGATAGTGTCAACACTTCGTAACAATCTAAAGACAGCCTTTCCAAGGGCTAAGTGTTGTCCCTACCTCTTAGAGGGCAGTGCTAGCTTCGCAATCATCACCATTGATTATTTCACAAAATAGGTTGAAGCCAAACCTCTGGCTAAAATTATAGAAGCCAACACTTCTAAGTTTTTTGTGGAAGAGTATTATATGTCAATTCGGAATTTCCCATTCAATTGTCTCAGATAATGGGTGTCAATTTGATAACAAGAAAGTCAGGAACTTAGTTGAGAAATTAGGAATAAACAAACACTTTTTTCACCCCCATAATCCTCAGGCTAATGGGCAAGTGGAAGCGATCAATAAAACGATTAAGTATACTCTTAAAAGAAAGTTGGAGGCTTCCGAAGGGGTTTGGAACGATGAGTTACCCCAGGTTATATGGGCTATGCAAACCACTAGCAAGGCAGCTATCGAAGAAACTCTTTTTTCGATGGCTTATGGATTAGAGCCTATGAGCCCAGTTGAAGTAGGTTTGCTCTCTCTTCGTCGCTTACAATTCAGTGAAATATCTAACAAGTTGACGAGGTGCAAACTTGATTTCCTTGATGAAATGAGGAATAATTCCCAAGTCTAGTTAGTTACTACAAATGAAAGACGACCAGGTACTACAATTCTAAGGTTAAGAAGAGGTCTTTTCATCTCAAAGACCTCGTATTACTAAGAGTGTTCCTATCTTCTAAAGAACCAGGAGTGTAGACTTTTGGCCCCAATTGAGAGGGTCTCTACAGCATCAAAGAAGAGGTTGGACCAGGAACCTATAAGATTGAAAAGTTGGATGGAAGGGCACAATCTCATCCTTGGAATGCAGAACACTTATGGAGGTATTACCGTAGAAGTGTAAATACTCAGTTTGTACAATTTTCTTAATTCAATGAAAGTGGCTTTGTTAATATTCTTGAAAGAAAAAGTGTCTCCCAACGACAAAAGTCATGGGGAAAGCCCTTGTATGGTAGGTCAACCACTAGGTAGGAAAGCGCGGGCACTTCGACAAAGAGATGGGTCTCAAAAGGGACCACCTCCTTACTCGTGGGAGTGGACTACACATACCCCCAACGATAAAAGTTATGGAGGAAGCTTCAGTATGGACAAACCATTCAACACCATGCTAAGGAAAGAAAGTAAATTAAAAGGCATATGATCTTCTAACACTTGTACAAATTTTTAAACAAGTCTCAATGAGATTGAAGCACATCATAAAGCAGTAACATAAGCAAAAATGCAGTAAACATTTAAAAAATTGACACAAGTATAACGATGGATAATTTTATTTCATTAAAAAAACTTATCACATTATGAGTCGAAGCCATTTACATGGATAAATAGAAAAGAAATTACAAATGCCTAAGCTAAGCAGGAGGGGAGGATTGGTGCTAGAGAAAAGGACAATGGCTTTGGAGCCAACTGCTTCAGAAGTCACATTTTCGTCCCAGTCTCATTGTCATCTACCTCAATTATATGGTTGCTATCCATAAAAGTATGAGGCTATGTTTCATCTAAGAACTCTACCCTTTACTCCGAAGTGTCAAAGGATTGAGAGTACACCTCAATCCACTTCATAACCTCGATGTACATGTACCTCCGCCAGTACTTAGCAAAGCGTTCATACTCATCAGTCAGATAGAAACTGGCAATCTACCGCTCCACAACATCATCCCCAATAGATTGGGCTTCTACCTTCGCAGACTCTACCTCACTTTGGAGCCAAGCTTCCCCACCTTCTACTTTAAGGTAGTATTCTCTTCATTTCACCTTTTAAAGGCCTCTACAGTTATTTTTTGTGGGCGTCAGAGGTTTCCACCCGCTTTATAAGAGAAACCACCTCACTTTGAGATAGATGGAACTCTTTCTACAATCTTTCAATTTTTGCTAAGGCAAAAGCGAGCTTTGTGGCCTCTCAACATACTGTTTTTTTGCGATTCAGCCTTAAACTTGGCCTTCTAGGCCTCCTCCTCCGCCTGAGATGCTTTATTGGAAAATTCCTTATTCTTTTTCTAAAGATTTTTAAAAAAGACTTTAGTCTCTATGGCAATCCCAAAAGCCTACCAAGGCTGGCTCACCATGGTGGAAAACATGTCCACCTAATCACTCGTCTCTACGAAGGTCTGCCATCTCTCTGTCCAAAACTTGTGAAATGTGGCAATTACTGTTTGAACCTCTGGAGGAAGCAAGGCCACGACTTTCGGGGCCAGTTCCTCTCACCGCTTGGATAAGGAGAGCTTGGTGCGAGGAGCTGCATTGGAGGCAGTTGTTGAGTCTCATGAGGTCTTTCCCCCTCTTAGAAGGTTCCTTCCCTAGAAGCTTCATGTAACCATCATGAAAAACGGGGTCAACATACTCTAATACCATGTTAAAGCTTGGGGTTTCATCTTAAAAAATCAACCTTGTTAAAGGGAGTAACTCAAATCTTTATAAATTGATCCATGTTTTCAACCTTGTTCGTCTGTGATTTTACCCTTTAACACGTTCCTTTGATAGTCTTTTTACTACTACACCTTATTAATTGAAAACACTTATATTTATTCGATTTCTACACATGATCATTTTATCATTGATTATTGACAACTAATTAAAATTAATGTAGTATTGGAGCCTTAGGACACGGAGGTTACGACGTTGTAGAAAACGTACGTGTGAGGAATTGTACATTGAAAAATACATTGACTGGATTAAGGCTCAAGACTTGGCAGGTATAAATTCAAGATTACTCAAATTAAATAATTATTATTTTAATCTTGATTTTAATCCATTTTCTTGTAGACAATTATGCATATTGATTAATGGGCACTTTCGTTTGTTTCATAGGGAGGAAAAGGATATGCAAGAAAAATCTCTTTTGAAGGAATCAAGTTTGTGGATGTTCATCACCCTGTTCAAATCGATCAATATTACTGCCCCACTAGGGTTAATTGCCAAAACTTTGTAAGTAAAACAAAATCGAAAGCCATCATTTTTCTCTGAACAAATATACGACATGAATATTTTTTTGCAACATATCTATTAAGACTTGGAAAGCCATCTGAAAATGTCAATCTTATTAAGAGGAAAACCATGTGGTTGATTATTATTTCAATATTAAAAATTTAACCGTTAAATATGGTAAGACGGTGACTTGTTTGAAAATACTAATTTTGAATTTCAATACCTTGTTTGAGTATCTACATGGACCGAATGGCTCATTTGAACATCATGAGCTTGAATACAATATTAAAACTTCGAGAATAAACTCTAGTCGTTATGTTTTAATTAAATGAGGATTTACCCTTAATAATATCTATACAAATACATATAATATGCGTATGTTTTTGAACGTAGACGTCGGCAGTTGCTATAAGCGACATATCGTACACTGCGATTACCGGGACATCACTGGATGAGCAGGTGATAGATCTAAGCTGCAGCCAAAGCATTGGGTGCACCAACATTAAACTAGATAGGGTTTATATTACATCATCAACTCCAGGGAATAAAGTTTATGCAAACTGTGTCAATGCTCGTGGAAAATCTAGCCATACAAGACCTGCTGTCAATTGCCTGCTACCATAGAAACTCATTCTTCATTTTACTATTAATTTCTTAATTCCAGTTGTTATTGTAATCTGTTTTAAATTATTTGTACAATAATGCACTTGTATTCCATGATATTGTTTTTTGGATGTGTAACTTTTGGCAAGGCCAATAAAAGAGAGACATAAACTTTATCATTTAAGACTTGAAAATTTGTGTTTATATACAAGCAAATTTCCAATTTATTGGTGCTATAATTTGAAATAAGAATTATTCAGAAAAAGAAAATATTATTTGCATTGCTTAATTATTTGTGTGGTAAGTGAAATCATTAGTATTTTTTGTGTTTCTGGCAATTTGTTTAAGAATTTAGATGTATGCAACTTAATTGTAAGGATATAATGTTGACAAAAAACTCGGTGCGAGCGTTTGTGATGGTTTTTGGGTGCATTTGGCACATTGTATTATATCGAATAAGGATAACTTTTATCCTATTAAGTTTTTGACTTCAACAGTACCCAAATTATTGTAGAATGAGAATAAAAAATATAACTGCTATTGGGCCCCACACAAGTGATAGAAATTCAAAACTGATGGCTTGATATGATGGATAACGGTCATATTTTTCATTTTTATGGATAAACAGAGGCTAAATTATAATCTAGTCAAATTATCCTACCTTAATCCAATCTGATAAATTTTAATCTCGATAACTGAATAAATATATGATCATGTGCAAACACAAGTTTTAAATAATATAAACCCACCACATACCATACATGTTATTGTTAGGAGCTGTAACACCACCTTCACCCACGACCTCTTACACTACCCTGTTAAGGGTTAGAATCTCATATCAAATAAAAATTATAACATAGACCAATTTATAAGGATTTGAGTCACTCCTCTTAGTAAAGTTGATCTCTTAAGGTGTAATTTCAAGTCTTAACATACCCCACCTAGTCCTCAAGCTTAAATGCTAAGACACATTAACACAATAAACTTTCTTTAAATAAAATAAGTCAATTTTAAAATAAGCAAACTTTATTTACATATCAGTGAATTTATGGTCCGTTTGATTGCAAGAATAGAATTTGGATGGAAAGAAAATGAATTTCAGCGAATTAAAATGGATAGAATTCATTTTACTAGAAATTGTCAATTAACTGTGTTTGATTGGTATAATTTTTCACCTGAAAAATATTGAAATTTTGGATCTTTTTGCATTCGTTTGGCTTTATTTTTCATTGAAATTGTCCATTAAATAGATATAATTTGTTACAATTGTGGATAGAATTTGTTTGAATTGTAAAAAAAAAAATTTGAAATTGACAAAATTATAAAAGGCCCTTCTAATACAAAAACTAAGACCCGTTTCCTGCTCTCCTCCTTGGCTCCTCAATCTTCGAGCTAACTTGACGAAGACCCATATATGTATATTGTCCACCATAATGAGGAGGAGGTAATGGTGGTGGTGCGCGACCGTGATTCTCAACGCCGGCGCTGAAATTTGGGATGAACTGTATGTGATCGCTGCATTCGAATTGGTATGGAATTGAACCTGATTCAAATTGTTTCTTGATGACATGGGACATGAAACTGCTCGCCTTGATGAGTATTAAGGGCCTGTAATGGAGTATGGCCGTCGGTGTTGGAGGGTTGGCCGAAATTGGTGTTGAAACCGTGCGTGAAGGCTTGATTTTGAGCCCGAATTTCGTCTGATTTTGGAGGTGTTATGTCCAATTTTTGGTATGAAATTGAAGAATGGGATGAGGACATGTTGACAGTGTGAAAATTCGATGGTTTGTCCAGCGGCATACTGGATGAATTTGGAGTAGAAGGTGTTGGTGTAGTGGACGAATTTGGTTGCAATTCCCACTTGCCAAGAAAACAAAAAACCTGCTAAACCATGGGAAAACCAACTCCAGGATTCTGAGGAAAAGAGGGTCACGTGCTAGGAATTGGGAAAATGTTTTGCCTTGAAAAATATATCCTATCAAACAGCAAAAAAGTTGAAAAATGGTGGGAAGTTTTCCATCTTCCATGGAATTTAAGGCTTATCAAATAGGGCCTTAGAATAAATAATTTTTTTTACTTTGGGATAAGAATTTACTAATAAGTGAAGTATTCAATTATAAGTAAAAATTATACTTCTAATTAGAAGTTCACTTATAAGTAAGAATTTAAGTATAAATAAAAACACGCTTATAAGTAAAAATTACTTATAGTTAGAAAAATTTCATACAAGAAAACGATCACTTATAGTCCTTGTTTGATCTCTATTATTTTCAAAATATATTTTTTTATCTCTCTTCTTGTTAATAACAACTACATATTCTTCATAAATCTATTATTCCCAAATACATTCTTGAAAAATATGGGGCTCAAACAAATCCAATAAATAACATACATCTACTAGGTATGGCATTTTTGGGTTGTGCTATTTGTGCTAGACCACCTTTACGTGCTAGGAAACACTATTATCCCTTATGGCAAGTGGTAGGGGCAGACCCAAATGGGGTCAAGTGATCCCAAAATTTTGGGATTTTTTTACCCTACCTAACCAAGCTGGCCACTAACCTGAAGCCTATTCCCATAGAACAATGCTACATGTACAACACATGGGTTACAATATTGGGTTACAATCTCTCACAAGGGAGGTAGCCCCGCGATTAAAATAATAGTGGGCCTCACTTCCCTTGTGAGAGGTTGTAACCCAATATTATAACCCAACATTGTACAATGTGCATTATTCATTCCCATATCTCCAATCCGTATTCTATGTATTATAATTTACTTTACCCAAGTCCCAAGACCCAACCCACTTTTAACTTTTCTCCCTACAAATTCTCATCTTTAGTTCTCAAACTTCATTCTTCTCTAGCCTCCAGCCCCAACTTTCTCTTTTCATGGACAAATCAATGAATCATTGAATTGAATCATTATCAAATATTATACAATTATACAATGCAACCCTGAATATGCCTCCATCGGACCGCCCCTGCTAATCAAGTATGAGATTGATTACTTCATGAAAAAAGTAATGTAAAATATAAATATGTTTGTGATTTGTGAAATTTTAAAATGTTGATACTTGAAATGTATGTTGGTTTGGATATCATGATGTCATATGAATTTGATTTTTTAAAAATTCTGTGTGTATTCTGAATTTCTTTCTGATCGAGTGATTCCCAACTGTCCTAGTCGGTTTGGATATGAATTTTTTTTTTTTTTTTGCAATTTGTTGAAATGGTGTATTCTGAATTTCTTTCTGAATGAGTAATAGTTTGGTTGCATATATTGAGAACGATGTACTCAACTTACGTACCAAGTGTAATGGCTTTGTCAGTTCATCTAACTTAGTGATTTAAAATAGAATTGTTTGTAAGTATTTTCTGCAATGAAAATTGTCAAGAATCGACTGCGTAGCCGGATGGGAGATCAATGGTTAAGTGATAGTTTAATTGCATATATTGAAAACGATGTACTCAACAATATTGATAATGATGTAATTATACGATATTTTTAGAGTATGAAAATACGTAGGTTACAATTGTAATAGTGTATTAACTTACTTTCGTTAATGATATGTCATTTTGAAAAAAAAATTGCGTTAAAATTTTTGACCTTACAATATAAAACATCTAGGTCTGCCCATAGCAAGGGGATAGGTATCCCCTAGCACATGTGACCATGTACAAATAGCATTTTTGGGCATTTTTTACTAATTGTCAAATGCAAAATATTTGTATAAATAGGAGATTTTGCCTATCTTTTGTTGGATTTTTTTTTTGGCATCAAACGTAGTAAATGGAGGACCTAAACTAGCTATGCTGTGGGATTTGCACCGCTCACCTTGGATAGCTCAAAATTCACAGCAGTTGGAGATTGAAAATCATGTAGTGATAACAAAGTAACTCTTTAGTTTCAAATGTTATATTACATGTTTTTTATGTTTTTAAGTATTTATTAGTAGTCCAACGATGTATGTAGACGTAAATATGTTGAAATTTGACCCAAATTCGGTTGAATGCTGGTGGATTAGTTGAAGGGGGCCTTAAAGAGGTCAAAATATGGACCAAGAATGATTTCAGTGTTTTTCCACTCACTGTGCATCAAACTTTAGCTTAAAGGCTCAAAAAAGGGAGCTTGATGCTCTCTCACCGCCAACCCACCGCTCAAGTGGCGGGTATGCCGTTTGCTCAGTGCTGACTAGTACTCAAGAGCTACCGTGTTTCACCCGAAGGTTTTTTTCTTTATTCCACACGTTTTTTATGTTCTTTCCATCTTTAACACTATAATTAGGGTTTGACAGTTGTAACGTCCCGAGTTTCGTGAACCCGGATTGTCACGTCATCTTCATTTGTAACTGAATTAACTAAAAAAGATTTGCGAAAAATAACTAAATTTCGAAACATCACATTTATAACGGTAAAACCTTGTCAGCAACAAAACTTATTTGATTAACTAAAGAAATTCGATTAAACTTTAAATCTCGAGTTTCTGAAATAACGGAAATAACAAAGTGCTTTAATAATGTTCAAATACGTAATTTCTCAAATGTAAATAATTTCATCCAATTAAATCGTTGCCACCACTATCCATCAAACCAGACCATCTCCAAAATCTGCAAATGTCGTCAAAATAAAGGAATGAGTATTTCGAACAAATACTCAGTAGACCATCGTCGATAATTAATTTACAAAATAATTGAACACATAATTATGCAAAACATACAGTGACATTATCATCATCATCGGCTCATTTTCTTGAAAATCATAGGCTCTTTAAAATTCATAGGGTGTGGGTAGTCTCGTCTCATGCATTTAAGCACATAAGTTATGCATAACATTCTCATCTTATCTCATAAGAGATCGTCGTCTCTTCTCGTGCATTTAATCATATAAGTTATGACAATATCATATATCTCATATAACATATTGTCATCTCATGCATTAAAACATATAAATCACGTAAATTCACATAATATATGTAATTATAATTTAAACTAATTAATGGAGACGAGTTTACCTCAAATT